AATCGATAAAATTGTTCTGAAGAAAACGTTGAAAGAATTTTATTAATAATGTCAAACATATCAGTTTTAACAAGTTTTTGTTTGATAGACTCTTAAAATAAAACATTGGTTTTAAATACATGACCATGAAAAAAATATATAATTTATAGAATGTAGAGAATAAATGAATTAATTGTAGTTTTATTAAATAATAAATCAGAGGGGCATTAACAGCTGCATCGAGGGGAAGTTGGCGGTCTCATGAGAACAAACGTCACATCCTCTGACGTCATTATTAAATATTTTATAACCTACTTTATGTAGTAAAAACAAATATAACTAGGTATTCTCTATTAGTTGGTTCAATCTTCTAAGGAGGTGGCGATTTAAACCAATTAGCCGTCAATTGCTTGGTTCTGAATTACACTGGATAGTAAGTTTTTTCACCTTATGACCTTCCAGTTTAAAAGGTTGTTTCACTGGCCTTTATAAAACTATGTCATTCCCTAACCCTGACTTTTAAACCTAACTGATTTTTATAGGACCCAACAATTAGTTAATACCAAAACCTAATTAAGAAACTAGACAAAGGAAATCTAACTGGATTTTAAACCTTAAACAATCAACATGACTTACATACTAGCTGCTTCTGATTCTTATCATTTTGTGAGTAAGGTATCTATTTATTGAAAAGCGAAATTTCTAAAATTTCAATTGTCAAACATAAGTAAATTAGTTTTTTTTAACTTTTTGCACATTTCATGTCCGAATCATTAATTGTATTAGTGTCGTTCAATTAAATATATTTTACTATTCAAAGTCATTTCACACGTTAGGTCTACATATTTCTTATTCAAAATTGTTGGTGGTTTAACATTAGCAGAGTGTTTATTCCATAGCGCTAGCGTTCGTTGGGGAACATGTCTCCTAAACACTTTGCGCGAACATTGGGGAGATAGGATGACCTCTTACTGATGATGAGTGGTGCTGCAACAAAAGATAAACGTTGGCATTATGTCAAACAGTTCTTCGGAACACACAAAAGTATACAATTGATTGGATACAAACAGGAAGGCAAATTTTCCTATAACCTAATGGTTTTGTAAAAGCCAATAAGTAGCTGGTGTGCGGATGTGAGCCCAGAAGAATAGAGTTTTTTATACAACGTTTAGTATAAAATTATGCGATATTATAAGTATAATGTATGAGGAAGCATAGGTTACGATGGATGGATAAGAAGTCGAGTTAATAAGCCATCGCGATCTTCATGAAAGGAAAACCCGTGAGAAAAATGAATACTAACCTACAGATTAGTGAGGAAAGCGTGAGACTTAAACAGAATGTGTTGTGATATCAGCTTAATGAAACAAAAAGTTCATGTACCTATTAAATATACTAAAAATAACCATTGAATGCTTCAAAAATCAAAGCTGACTTTAAACGCAATAGACTGCTTAACCAAATATGTAATATATATTTAACTTAAATATAGTACTTATTGCAGCAGAGCTTGATTTACTCCATGTCAAGAATGTCTAAGTACACCTGTATTAGGAGAAACCTATATAATCTAGGTTAATAAATATTAACCCTGACTTATTCTAAGAACATTACAGCTGGTCTTAATATTAACTGCATAAAATGATTTTTGTCGTCATTTATCAACTCGTTGGATATTTTTTTATGTAAAAATTATTTTATTATGAACTAGTTTAAAATTATTGTCGTGTTAAGAAATTAAATATATACTTTAATGCTTTTAATGTTTTAATATTAACTAACTATGTTATATAACTCATTGTCGCTTAGAAAAAGAAAAAAGTCTGTTTTTTATTAAATTGTGAATAGGTACCATTTGTCATTTCTAATGCCACCTAAATGATTATGGTGTTCATCTTTAGTTCACAACGAACTATGTTATGTTTTTATTATCATAATAAAATATTTAGTTCTTTTCACCACAATCATTAGTCTTATAACAACAAAACTTATTTTACATTAACTAAATCACAAGTCATTACATCTTCTTTCCATTAATAAATCAAAAATAGCAGCGTATAATTATACAAATGTAATTTATTTTCATCACATGCTTCACCAAATATACTAAAACCATATGACGTCTGTTCTTATATGCGTTCCGTTATTATTCACGAGATTCGTCACTCTATGGAACTAGCCCGAACGTAAAGCTTGCATATTTGGTGCGGCAACTGGAAACACCTTCGCAAATATCGTGATGTAGCTCGTAACATTGTTTCCTGGGTGCTATTATTAAATATATAATATTACTGCTCTTGTCCTATCAAATAAGGTCAGTATAAAAAAAAACTAAACATTTAAGCCATACACAACTTCTGCTTTGAGATATTTAACCGTATGTTAAAATTAATTAGTTTTTTTTTGTACTCATTTTATGAATTAGAGATCGAAAATTGTTTTTTTAGTTTATTGTTATAATAAACATTTTTTCTTCAACATATAATAAAAATAATACCTTTCACATCAGAACACACGTTAGTAACATAATGTTACGTTATCTCAATAATGATGCACTCGCAGGTAAACTACTTTGAAATCATGAATAATGACACTGCATATGCAACGAGTACATTACGCACAACTCCAATATGAAACGTATCAACAAAATTTGATACTATTTCTTACGATCTCTTCATTAGGGAGAGTGTACACTGTACATATGTTAGAAATTCAAAATTTTTTTTTGTAAATTGTAATAAATAAGGCGGATTACACACCGGATGCGTGTTAGTGTCACGCTTGACACGCGCATCGCTCAACTTATAAACACGTTTGACATTACGGAACAGCTCTGCTTAAGAGTAATCAAAGAAAGCGGAAACCACTCCCTTCTCGTTTAAAAATAAAGATATATTGCCCGTGCCATTGTTGTTTCCTATAATAAATGGTAGAAGAATTTTCTTTTACGAAATACAGACTAAACGTTTATTTAGAAGTGATTTTTCACAGAAATTTAATGACGGTACTATTACCAGGCCAATTCTTATTAAAACACTATTTTTGTCTTAAAATTTGACAAATAATAAAGATACTTTTGCATATAATTATACACTATTTTTAGACGCGATTGGGTATTATGTAAATAATTAATTAAATCTATTTTTGTCAATTTTTACAAATATTACATTTATATAAAAATGTTACTATGTACTTCTGTTATATCTGAATTGAATTATTTTCATATATTTCATACGGGCTTGAACAAAACTCATCATATAATTATGATTCTGTATCACCAAATCTAAGCTTGCAATTCTTTGTTAAACATACTTACAATAACTAGAAGCAGTGAGAAGCTAAATTAATGCTTATTAAAGTCACTGCGGCACGTATATACATATATGAATACTATAGTTATTAATGTGAGTTGTAAGTCACTTGTGTTCGTCTTCTCAAGTGTGTTTTAAGTTAATTAAATAGCTCGGTCAGGCCTTAATTTGTTTACATCACGTGTCAAGCTGATTGGATTGTGTGAAGTGGGTTAATTAAATAATATATATTTATTTTTAGATTAGCCTCTGTTTCCTCTACACTGTTTTATTCCATTGTAAACGTATATATCTAATTATGTATTATGTAAGTAATATTGTTTCTACTTATGTACAGACATTTGAGGACAAATATAAATAATATTAAATTTATATTGTCTCTTACTACTAATTTATTATTTATTAATATTAATTTATGTACAATCGTTTATAGAAATATTGATACAGAGCTGTTTTTATGTTTTATCATATTTCAAGTGAAAAATAATGCCTTTTATAAGATGTGTGGCCTTGCCTATATAGATTAGTTCCTTGTGTGACATAGAAATTACTTTATTATAAAATCAAGAGATAACAAAGGTCAACATGAACATTAAAATTATTAATTAGATAATGGCCCCAAAGACTAACACAATGTAATAATATTATTAAAAAGCATACTATTATTTTTATATGTAGTTTTAAACGTCGTCATCAAAACAGTCAACTGATATCACATAATAATAATAATAAACATATTTAGACCGTAATTTACTTAAATACCATACAAATATTAAAGAAATTTATTTTTTATTTTGCTCATAGATAGTAATAAAAATCCTGGCCGTTTAGTCAATTTACCAGTGAAATATAATATATTATTAATTTAGATGAGGTCTGTTTAAAGGAAATAAAGAAATCATTTTCTATCCAAAGAAAGATAAGTCCGTTCCATTTGATGTAATTTGTAGAATCCTCACACGTTGAAAACTATCCCAAAACAAATATATAATTAATCGTTAACTATATTTAGCATCGAGAATTCAACAAGACGAATGGAGGCAACTGATTGACGTTCATCAAGTCTTAAGACATTCGATCGATTCGGAGTTTCATCAAGCGCTAGACGTCTCTAAATATTCACAGGTTATTTTCAACACGACCATAAAAAGAGAACATGACCAATGACTGCCAAATAAATTCTCTGTAAAATGCTGTTAAATAAATAATTCTATCTTTATAAAGAACTAGATTTGTAGAACGTCCAGCACGTTATAATAATAAATTATGTTAAATTAAGGGCTATTTATGTAAACGAAAATAATTTATGGACGGAACAAAAATAGTTCCCATTTTATTGCTATGACACATTTTTTATAAAACATGACATAAAAACATTCGTGAGATATAAACGTGAATTCTACAGTCCGCCTGAAATATCGGACTAATCAGGAGTTGGGACTGTGATGTTGGACTGTTTACACGTCTCGCTTGGAATACAATGATGTTATTAACACGAATATTGTAACTCGAAAGATATTTAGAAATATAAACTTTATTAACTTCCAGTGATGTGAATATTAAATAAATAATACAATGTATTTAAATGTTAATATGTTTCGGTAAACTTATTTTTGTTTGAGAATACTTGATATAACAGTTGTGTAGTGTGTCCGCGTGTGGGAGTGTGTGTTAGTAAATGTTCTTTAAATAGGTGATTATGATTTAAACATGGTGGCAATGTTGGAAGTCGTCAGTGCTTCTAATAATAACTACTTTTCGTCATTCTTAACTGTAAGTTTCCAGGTCATCTTAATCTTTTTTATTTACGACAGAATTCTTACGTAGAAATATTTTCATAAAAATCGTTTCTATATTATACACCTATGTCAATAGTTGGGGTCTGGGGAGATCTTCTTACGAAAAATTACGATTTTCTTACGAAACCTATTTACAACAGTTAATTAAAATTAACTGTTGTAAATAGGTTTTTCAAATATAGGTAACTGTCATTTTTGCCAGTTCTCCTGAAAAGCACCATAAAATTGATATTTTCACATTTATGATCGTCTAAAAATACCCTGTTCTCATAAAAAAATTAAAGAATAGTTTATGAATGTAGGAAGATTTTTTTTAAATGGATAATGAACATATTAAATTGTATAACCAATTTTTTAAAATATACGCAAAATAGTGCTTCAAACTCTAAATAAATCAATAAACATTGCCTCAATGTTATCATTATATTATATGTTTTGTGAGTTAAATAAAACTTTGACATTGCGACCTTATTATCTTAAAAAATAACTCGTAATTACTTCCGTATTTTAAAACATAACGAGATAAAACATTACATAAACTTGACGCAAAGCCAAATAACTGTCCCTTGAATATTAGATAACTAAATGTTTTCACCTCTATATTTCTATTTAAACTGTATACGAAAATTGTAAATAATACGATTATTATAAATTTATATTAACGAGTACGAATTTCTCACTTTTCAGACGGTCAACTCAGCTTCCGTTCCTATTCGGGATATCACAACGTCAACCACAACTTCATATCGGCCGTACAACGATGACTACACCTCCGTCCAACGACACTTAGACAGACCTAATCAGGCTGATATAGAAATCGAACGCTCCAAGAAGGACAAAAAATGGTCTATAGGAAAGCTTTTCAGAAGAAAAAAGAAAGAAGATGAAAGTTCATCGTCGCAAAGTGAAGATGGAAGTAAATCACCATCTAAAAGAAAAAGTAAGAAGAAAAAACGAATTCCCGCCGTCAATAACTTCGACCACATAGTCATAAGAGATACGAGACGTGCGCAAAGTGTAGCGAAACCAAACACTCATGATGCAACTGAAGATGGTATCTTATCCGATCCATCAGCTGGTTTTGTAAATTATAAGGTCAATAGGCCTAATTTCAATACTTCTAGAGATGTTTTTAAAATGAGAGAAAATGATAATTTTTTAAACAAAGGGCTCTTAGAAACACCTTCACGAAAAAAAAGAAAAAGCAGATTGAAAGCCCGGGTTGAGGCCTTAAGAAATAGTATTAAAGGAGAATCTAGCAGTGAAGATGAATCTTTGAAATCCTCTTCCAATTCTTCTTCTATGATTAGATTTAGAAGTGATGACTCCTTAATGAGATCTCGCGACAGCTCACTAAATAAAAAATCGAGAAGTGCACGTAACGAGAGGTACATTAAGCGTCTTTCTCGAGATGATGAAAACCAGCTTAATAAAGAAGCAGAGCTACTTCAACAAGGTTATACTAAAGCAGAAGTCGAAATGTTAACACGAACGCCGACTAGTCAAAGCAGTGGCTATGGAACATGCAAACGTGATTCTACTAATAAAGGAACAATGGAACAGCAAGCAACGAATGACGCCAATAGAGGCACTATGAAATCGGAGTCTATATCTTCATTTCCGTCAACTCAAAGTTACCCTTCAACGATTAATTTTAACGCCAAAGTAAACAACGAACGTATTAATTACTCAATACAATACCCAAGTAACAACACCAATCGGGGCTCATTATACATTAATAATAATAGAGAAAGTAGCATTTCAAATCAATATGAAAGTCCAGAGAGTATTATGTGTGTTAAATTTCCTTTAGGAAATGTTACCGACCTTAAAAAGGAGGAAAAGTCCCCACCAGTACCACCCCCTAGAGATATGAACCGAAAAGTTGTGACTCCTACTTCAATGCTCTATGAAAACAACCCTTTCATTACGGAAAGAGTTAATAACAGCCAAAATGTAAAATACGGTGTTCCTAACAACGATTTCGAAAGAATAATGCGGCGCAGCCAGGAAAGGACACTAGGAAAAAATGGCTTGCGACGCCCTACTTCAGAGGATCATATTGCTATACAAAACAACGATTACCTTAAAAACTATTCATTTAGAAATGACCAGCCACGTAGACCGGCGTCTGTTTCAGCAGAACCAAATCATTACGGGCTTTATATAAATAGTCCAGCTTGGAGGAGAAGCGAGCAAAATAATATTGTTAAGCCTGAACCGTTACAAGTAAACCAAGACTACTTATATTACGCTGATCAAAGTCCAAGATCACGCAGGCCTATTAGCATTAAATCAAGTCAAAATGAACTTCATAATCAATATTTAAGTGACTCCCAAGTTTCTTCTGCTATGAATGAAAAACCTTGCCATAAACCACGTACTGCAACAGAGTTTTGGAAAAAAATTGATGACGCAGAGAGACAAAGACGTTCACATACAGTTTTTGCTAATTCTCGCAGTAATAGTGATTATTCAAGCAATGCCCAAATAAATAGAGCTTCAATAGATCAAAATAATAAACTTCCGTGGAACAAACGAAGTTCAGAAAACATTGATAATGCTAATAAAAATAAATCTTTTGATATAATGGATGGTGCCAAAGTGTGGAAAGCGACAACTGAATATAAACGGTCTACTACCGTTGAACCGGAGAAAACCCCAAATTCCGCCAATAAGACTCATGTTCGGCATAAGTCTGATACATACGTTTCAGGTTCATACTTAAATCCATCAGATGATGAAAAAAATTCTGAAAGACGAAAATCAACGAACCTCGATGATGCCTTAAATGAATTAGAGGCCATTTATAATAGTTTGGGTTTAGGAGATGAAGACCTACTTGATCGAGCTGAACAAAGAGAATTAATGACACCTAAATCAAATGAACAATTCAATGATTGGAATGGGAACGATGATGATATTCAATTGCGTAGTCAACCTTCAACGCCGCTGCGACGGTTGTCTCGAAGATCTACCTTACCTGATAAATTGCAAGACGATATGGCTTTTAGAAGAATGAATTCATTTTCTAATAAAGATAAATCAAATCTCAAAGATTCTCAAGCACAAATAAGTTACATGTTAGCATCCCCGGTATACGTTCCATACGCTTCGGATGATGATAGACAATCATTACGAAATGAGCCTGACATAGTTTATGACGATGTTGTGTATAGAAATATTAAACAAACAAACAGCAGATTAAAGACTATTGATCCGCAGCCACCTTTTGGCATACCAGTTGGTCCAGTATCACCGGCACCTCAAAGTGATTATTTGCATGCGACACCGGAGAATAAAGGAAGATCTCGATTTGTTCCCAAGAGGTCACCAGATATTGTGGCAGATGATTTAGCCTATAGAAGTCTAAGAAAAGATAATAGACATTCGTCATTATTTAATGGAGAAAATTATAATGGTTACAATAATAACAACAGCTACACTGAGTTCCCATTTAATAAGGATAGTTCTGCAAATATCAAACGGAAACGCGCTGTAAGATCCCTTTCAGCAAACATTTTCTCTATGATACAGAAAGAAATAGATGATGCTTTAAATACGAGCAAAACATCTGTCTTACAAAAAACAAGTAGTAACAGTGACGTCATGAAGAGGCTACGTGAAACGTTTGAGAAAAATGACGTCCAGAAGGACATATATCCTCGCAACAAGGTAAAGCAAAGACACAATACTGTCAATTTATTTGCTAATAGCACTCATGCGCCATCGCACCAATTTTCAAAAGATGATTCATTCATTTACAATAATGATGTATGTGTTGTCAAGCCACCTTCATGTGATAAGTCAAAAAGTTCATCTCCATCAAATCGTTCACCACAAGCTTCTAAGCGATCATCTAAGGATGAATTTCAACAGGTATTAAGTATGTTAGCTCAAGAAGCTATGGACACTAGCAACAAACTAGGTGTAGCCTTAGCTGAACTAGATAGAAACCGTAATAAAAACGATGCTATAGATATCCAAAATAGAATAACTGATAGCAGAACGCTCTTTCTCAACGGTCTGACCGATAAAACGATTAATGAAAGTGAATTGAGTCCAAAAACGGATAATTTGATTGAAAATAAAGAGACAACAGATATGCCTAACGTATTGTTCGATAAACAATCAATGGGAAAGAAAACTGAAGATAGTCTACTTCTCATATCAAATCAACTACACAAAGTAGAAGACCAGCTTAAACATACTATTGATAAAGAGTCGCAACTTGGGAATGATTGCTTCAGAGTAAAGGAAAATGTTGAAAAAGAAAATGAGAAATCGCATTTGAGTGAAACAAAATTTTCAAACGAAATGAGCAGTATACCAGATGTGGTACCCGTTAGAACTCAACCAGAACCTAAAAGTGTAGATTTTAAGGAGTCTACAAAAATTAATGAAACTGCAAAACCTACTATAAATTCCCTCAATCCATTTTTAAACACGGATGACAAAATGAAAGAAATTAATGAGATTAACGCCTTTAAAGAATTAAAGGATGGAATATCTGATCTTATAGCTGGTATAACAGAAGTTAATGAAAAGTTATTTGTTTCTAAAAAAGCTCTTCCAAATGAACCTGTTTCACCAAAGGCTTTTGAATCATCTATTGTTAAAGCCACTGAGAAATTGAATGAGGTTACAATGATAAACACCAATGAAAGTCCGAAAAGAGCTTCTATTAGTTTATCTATATATGATGATGATATGCAAAATAAGAAAGATGGAGCCGACTCAACTGAATATAATTCGTCAGAAGAACTTGCAACTATTTTTAAGTTGGACACAGGTACTAAGTCATCATGTGATAACGATAAACCAAACAAAGAACGAAACGATTTAAATTCTCCAAAAATAGTTAAGAACGTAACCCAACATCTGAGGAGACTTTCGATCGATGAAAGTACTAGTCAGAACAATTCACTGCCAACAGTCCCATGGAGAGCTAAAAGGCAAGACAATAATTCACAAAAAGAAAAAAAAGGTATGTGGTATCTAGTCATGCACGGTGTATGGATTTCACTTTGATCATAGCATTCGTTGCATCTCTCACTGTATGTATGTGTTTGTGTTTATTTATTTGGAATGCGATTTTTATAGTTTGGTTTTTGTGTTTTGTTATTCCGACAGGCGATAGTACGAAGTCGAAACGCAATTGGCACGACTCAGGCACGTTGATGTTAGCTTGCTCCTACACTCTAATGTTCTCACAGCAACTGACAGAATTGGATTGGCTGACACTGCTGGGCTTGCTGTTGGCAATTATTACTATCATCGCTATGCTTTTAATTTAAAACACTTCGTATATAACCGTGTTTCAAGTCCTCTAACTATAGAGATATTGGCAAATGTGAACTATATTTTTATTAAATAATTTTTATGAATTCCTAATTATGCAGTTTTAATATATGCTTAAATAGATTATTGTAAATTTGATGTACTTAATCGTTACTCTGTGATGTTATACTAAAAATTTCGTTTAAAGAAAATCTTTAATCTTAATTGTGTGCCAAAAAGATGAGACGATATGAAAAATATGTAATGTACAATACGCGTATTGCAAAAATGTTACTCGGTTTGAAACAACGCATGAGATTTTGCATGATATTTATTGTATTACAACTATAATTACCGTTTTGTTTTAAGATTTTATTAATTTATAAATGTTTTATTAACTATTATAAACGCTATTTTTCTTCTTTTTGATAGTTGTGTTCGAAAATATTTTATTTCGTTACTGACTAACATTAATTACTTTGCCAGTTTTTGTTTTATTTAATTTGCACATATGACAGTCATGTATAGATATATATGTAGATGTTTAAATGAATTCAATCAATCACATTTTGAAGTTTTCTATACATATTCACTGCCATGTATAAATTGAATTTATATTAAAAGTACTCATAATTAATATATCAAGTAAGCACGAGTGATTTTATTATTTCTTTTTTAACTGAACGTGTCTTTTCTAGGTGAAAACTGATTGCCACAAAAAGGCTCTACTGACCTCTCATAAGTTAACTTCGATATTATTTTAAGCTGTAATTATTGTATTAGTATTTCTGATCTACTATTGTATTTTATTCTATTGTTGTTTGAAACATTTCTACTTACTTTATGTAGAGGCTTCCACTTGCGATAAAAGAGCGTTATTTATATGAAAAAGTTACAAATAAATAAATGTTTTTATTTAATATGGTGTTTTATTTAAATATATATAGAGTCTAAGAAATTCTCTCTTAAAACTCTTCTGACTGTGTTAAAAAATATGAATATCTGATAAATAAATACTAAAAAAGAATTCGGCTATAGAAGGTCATTCGCATTATGTATTTATTAAAGATAAGAGTTAAATAACTTTATCTGTATTGCTCTCGTTTTAATATCAATAATAGTCAATTGTTCTAGACACTGCTACCTTATATTAAAGTTATATCTCAAACTTCACAGACAGTCGCTTAATAAAATAGATGTGAGTTGAATCGCTGAATCCATTTAATCTTTTGGAGTTTGCTCCAACCGATTATATGATTTGACATTAGAAAAAAAAATTCACATTACTTGTTTTATTTAACTCAAAAATAAATAGGTGTGTGGTAGTAAATATGTAATTGCAGGAGACCTCAAGGCACAGTATTCAAAATTCAGCTATTTTCCAAAATACTTCCTTAAACAACTTAGCCATACAACTGTCTGAATACTAGTATTGTAAGTAGTAATTATATTTCTTTTTAGAGATCCCCTTTCTTCCGGCAGGGAAAAATACTTCTCTGCTCCTCATTAATTTCTCACGGCGAATTTTGATAGATTCTTCTCTAGCTAACGTTATGATATAAACTCCCTGATGAAGTCTTCAAAACTTATTTATTTTTCAGAAAGACCGTGCTAGTGGTATATCATAGTATACCCTGCTATTGCAGGCGTCCTTAGACTACAGTGACCGCTTAACATAAGACGGCTCTTACGCTCATTTACCACAACCCTGAAAAGTGAAAATCATCCTTGAAACATCGTCAATTGATGCAATTATGTTTTTAAATTTAATGCAATTTTGAGGTAATACTATACATGAAATTTTTATTAGAAAACGATAATATGAAAAAGTCATCGATATGAACAGGATTCGAACCTGTAATTTTCGAAATTAAGTTAACGTTAATAAGGTTAAAAGATGTAAATTCATAAATCAATATGACTTTTAAAAATAATATTTGATAAAATTGTAATATTAATTTATTAAGTATACATAAGAATTAAATTAGTAACTTTAAACAATCTCTACTACAACTTAAATATAAATATAGGGATAATAAGCCTGGCTCCTGTGGGCTTTTATTTGTTCTTTTATTGTTCATTTCTTTAAAATCGTTTCCGGAAATGAATACGATGGAAAGAACGTTAATATTTATAACACTTTAAATGTATATTAGTGAAATGTAAGTGAAGTATTTATTTATTTCCCATGCAATACATTTAAGATATACCTTGCATATTTCCTAAAGGTTAGCCCAAATGGTATGTATATATTTACTAGTTTTGAACCGAGACATGTCCCGGTAAGTATTGAAAATCGTACAACTTCTAAATTTTATATAAATTACCAGTTTTTTGGTATTTTTTATAAGGTCTTTCTTTAACTACTACCAATGACTTCCCAAGAAGGATTCAGCAATAAACAATGAGTCGATTGTGACCTGTTTGTGTTTTCAGATATTGTTCTGTAAAGAAGACATTATAACAATTTTTCAACAGCTCTAGATAAAACCCCGCTTCTAGCAGTATTTAAAAGGGACATTATATTGATATATGGTTATTTATTGAGATTAATAACATTGTGTCCTTGCGAAAGCGTTGTGTAAAATCGTACGCAAGCCGCTGCAAAAAATCATATGGCGGAAATTTTTGCAATCTGGTGTTCAGGTTTTCATCTTCGGTCGGTCATTATTATAAAAATTAACCTAAATTTACATTCACAAATACATATGTTTACATCAGCTTCACTGTTTTAATATAAAGGTGGAAATTATTTTGGCTTGTGTAACATTGACTTTGCTTAATATTTATGTGTATGTAACTGTTATTATGTAATTTTTTCCTTGTAATAAATACCTTTTCTATAAAAATTAAAAATTTCTTGTAAGTAGAAGTAGAAATTATATATAGAACAATCTGTATTGTATATTTAACAAAATATTCTACTAATATTATTAAAAAAAAACCTTTAAGATATCGTTTTTATTACATTCAGTAAGTTACGTAAGAACCTCAATAGTTAGTGAGATCACGTGTAATGCGTAGACAAAATTTAATAATGAACTTGTTTGTATGAACTTTGTACTTACGACAAATTCTACTTATCACACTATTTCCTTAATTGTATAATTACCATAAGACTATAAGTTGGCAAGGTCACACTACATAAGAAGCATTTCATTTTACGTTTACTCTATAATGTGTGAAGATTATGAACGAAAAACTATCGCCCCGTATTTAACGTGAAGATACAAAAGTTTTACCTTATGGTAAGGATAATTAAAAGACCAAAAAGATTTGACGATCGATTGAAAATCTGTGATAGTTGGAAATTTTATTTATCTCCAAACCTAATTATTACAATTGTGATAATGTAAACATCAAAAAATCAAGTACCTAATATAATTTTTTTTCTAGAAATTAACGATATTAAGCATGTAAAATTCAAAGAAAAATGTCTTTACCCTTTATATCTTAGGTATTTATCCTTTTCTAAACTTGACGAGACCATTACCTTCCAAATCAGTTAGGGGTGATTTTGATTAATAATAATTAAAATAGAGAAAAGATGATTTAACTTTGTCTTTTACAATAACAATAAAAACTGAGATCTTTTCATATAGTTTAAATAAACAAGTATAGTACATAGGCTGTTCAATCTTATACAATACTATTGTCCAATTGATATTGATGTCCAATAATTAGATATTATTTATTTTATAATTTTATTTTTATTTTTATAATTTTATAATTAATTTATATTTTTATTTTTATTTTTATAATAAAAGCTTTTAACTTTTAATTCCACAGCTTGGTAGCAGAATCGTATCCTCGTAAGGGTCTGTATGCGGGTTTGCTTTTATTACAGCCAGAAAATTGATAGGTTTATAATTAAAAGCGGTGTTTTAATTAAATTGATAAGGGAATGAGATGTTTTATAATTATTGTAATGACATTGTTAGTCTATCTGTGTTATTATTTGGACAGTTAACATTTTGGTTTTGTTTAAGCATAAATAACAAAAACAGTATTGCTTTATTTAAGTTTTTCTGATTTTATTTATATTAACTTGCCTTATGGAATACATTTTCATCATTTAAAGTATGCGACGAAAGTAATAGGCATTATAACTCCAATAGTGGATATGGATGCAAAATTAACTTTTTCACCTCACATGGTTGAAATTTTACCATATTAATTGAACAGTGCTTTAAGACAAACAAACAACAAAAAACTACAAACTACAAAACTATAATTGAAAACAAATAAATTTACTTAATAAATTAACATACAAAGCTTGGGAATGTAACATATTCTTAAAATAAATATTTTCGCCCTCATCTGGACTTCTTTCCCACAAATATTGATGCTGCGGTGGCCAAAAAGATAAGAGGTTCCATTAGGACCTTTCCTTAATGGAAAAGCGTTATGAAGGGAATGGAGTCTAGAAAATATACTAGAAGGTTATTGTTGTAAGCTAAAAGGAGACCTACGGGAATCCAAATACTCACTAAAGATAAAAAGAAATATATTTGTTTTACATTGCGAGTTTATTTTTCTAAGTATTGTAAATTTTGGAACTTTATGCGAACATTTGTTCTGTTTTCGTAAGAAAGCCTGGGGAATATTTTATTTTATTTTGATGAATTATTGTATGTTAGTAAATTTGATGTAAATTTTCATGTGAAAGAAAATGTTTAAGTTTGTTGATCAGTTTAAAATTTAATTTTAGTAAAAAACTATGTATATGTATTCAATTTCATTTTATAATTATTAATGATAGCGACATCTATGAAATAATATAAAAACGGTTTGATATAAAACTATGTCAGACACTACACCTCCTTTGTGTAATGATAAACTGTATTCATAGATGGCGCTTATCTTAGAAAATGAAAATGTAATTAAACCAATTTTATCCAAGTAAAGTATAGTCTAAATATTTGTAAAGCATTAAATATTTACAAGATTTTAGAAAATGTACTGCACTTATTACTTTTTACATTAATTGCTGACTTGATAACAATACTGTTGACTG